CCCCGCCGGCGCCACCGGGAACGGCGCCCGCGCCGCCGCCGCCGCGCCCCCACCGCCGCCCGCGCCGCCGCCGCCCGTGCGCCGGTGGCGCGCGATCGCGATGCTGCGCTGGCGCAGCAGCTGCCCCAGGCGCCGCGCCTCGGCGCCGCTGCAGTAGTGGCGCAGCACGAAGGCCATGAGCTCTATGAGCCGCGCCATAGCCAGCGCCGCCGTGTCCCCGCATAAGAAGACCGCCGGCGCGTCGCGCGCGGTCGCCTCCAGCAGCCGCAGCAGCGCAATCGAGACGTCCACCAGCGCCGCGGCGCGGCGGTAGCGCTGCTGCAGCTGCGTCTGAGACAGGCGCTCAGGCGGCGGCTGGGGCGGGGCCGGGGCGCCGCCGGGCTGCTGCTGTTGCGGAGGCCCGGCCCCGGCCACCTCCGGCTGCTGCTGCTGCTGCTGCTGCTGCTGCTGCTGCTGCTGCCCGCCCTCCCGCACTCCCTGCTCCACCGCAGGCGGCAGCGCGGGCGCGCCGGCCGCCGCGGCGCCGGGCTGCGCGGGCAGCAGCTGCGCGGGCGGCGCGAGGCCGACTGCCCTGTGCAGCTCCACCACCAGGGACGCGCTCTCGGTCAGCACGCTGCGGCAGACGAGTGACGCACGCGCGCGAGAGGGGGAGAGTGAGAGACGGGGGACGGAAAGAGGTTGACGGGAGAGCGAGGGGAGGCGGTTGCGGGGAGTTGTGGATGCAGTATGGCGGCCCGATAGCGGGGTCGTGGTGTTGCCGCCCTCCGAAACCCATGCAGGGGCCATCAAGACGACCAGCACGAAGCGGCGGCCACAGCGGTGCAAGCGCGCGAGCAGGGCCCATTCATGGCACCCGCGACCGCCCCGACCCTTCTGCACCTGTTGAGCGAGTCGTATAGCTGCCCCAGGAACCGCGCCGCAGCCTCCAGGTTGTGTGACGCGTAGCGCCCAAAGGAACCCCGGAACAGGTCAGACCCTGAAGACGGCCGCCCCACCACGGGCGCGGCGCCCCAAGCGGCGGCCCCGCCGCCGCCCGCGGGGCCGCCGTCAAACCCGTCCATGCTGTCCCCCGGGCCGTCCCCGCGCCGCACGTGCGCCGCCACGGCCTCCACGACCGTCAGCGCCGCGCCGGCGCTGTCCGTGCGCAGCGGCGGCACCAGGCGCGCCCGCCAGTCGGCGGTGCCGTAAGGCGGCGCGCGCGCGGACGACGGCGTCTGCGGCGACGCGGCCCGCTGCTGCTGCTGCTGCTGCTGCTGCTGCTCCCGCTCGAGCTGCAGCTGCCGCTGGCGAAGCCGCCACTGCGCGGACGGCTCCACGAGCTCCCCCATGCCCGCGCCCCCCACCAGCCGCAGCAGCGCGAGCGCGACCTCCTGCCAGTGCTCCCCCGCAAAGCTGCCCATGAGCCGCGGCACGAGCGAGTTGATGGCCGCGGGGTGGCGCTCCATCGCGGCGATGCAGCCGGGGGACTCCAGCAGCGTGGACAGCGCGCGCATGATCAGCTCCCGCACGTCTGAGGGTGGGGCAAAGGAGGCGCGGCGCGTCGCAGGGCGTGACGCGCGCACGAGAGAGATGGCGCTGGTCACTGAAAGACGTCGCGCGTGCGGCGCCGGCTGGATCGCGCAAGCCCCCAGACCGGGTACTGCCGCCAGGCTGCACCGCGTGTACACCGCACAGCCCCCAGCGGATCAGTTAGAATCCCACGCCGGCACGCCCGCCGCGCCGCAGCAGCGGCATGCGACAGGGGGGCTGGACTAGCACCCCCCCCCCCAGGCAAGCCCTCGTGACCCGCGCCTCTCACCTGGGTGCACCACGCGCTCGTCGCAGAGGCACGCCACCACAAACCCCACAAACGCCTGCAGCTGCGGCTCCGTGAGCTTGCAGCTCGCCGCCGCAAACGGGCTGCCCGCCGCCTGCAGAGCAAGCAGCAGCTCCAGCGGCGCGGAGACGAAAGCGACCGGCACATATAACAGCACGCGCGCCATAGCCTGCTGCTCCTCCTCCGCCTCTGACGCCGCCCCGCCGCCGCCGCCGCTGCCGCTGCCGCCGGCCGCTGCCGCCGCGTCGGAGCTGCCGCCGCCGCCGCCGCCGCTGTTTGCGCCGCTGCCCATGTGGGCGAGGGATGCCAGCATGGCCATGACGTAGGCCGACATCGACAGCAGCGCGCCGGCCTTCCAGCCTGAGAACAGGACGACCTGGGTGATCGCCACGTAGCTGCGTTTTTGCGGGGACGAAGGGGTCGATGAGGGGGAGTTCGGTGGTGTGTGTGTGTGTGTGTGTGTGTGTGTGTGTGTGTGTGTGTGTGTGTTTGTAGGCGGGGGAAGGCACTAGACGAGGTGTGTCACCAGGCGCGACCAGGGAATCGGGAGCGCTGGGCCTGCGCGTCCGCGCCCAGGGGAACCTGTATTTGCAAGCCAGCCGGCGCTGGGGGCCGCACCGCGTGCAGCCCCCCCCCCCTGCCACCCGCCCCTGCGTCTCCTAGCAGATATTCTCTGGTTGGCAGCCGATCTCTGCTCGCAGCAGCGGCGGCGCAGGCGCGCCTGTCATCAGCACCCACCGCGTGCTGCTCTCGACCTCGCTGAGTACGGTGGTGCGCGCGGCCGCCATGGGGCCCGCGTTGCCGCCCTGCGCGCCCGCGCCGCCAGACATGCCCAACATGCGCTCCAGCTCGGTCAGCTCCTGCGGGGTGGTGTGGTGCGGGTCGAATGACGTCATCGGAGTCAACGTGGGGCAGGGTGGTCTGGCCGGCTTAGGGTGTCAGGGGACCACCTGGGGCAGACGACGTCAAGGGGCGCAGGGGCAGGGGCAGGGGCAGGGGCACAAGCCGCGGCGGTGCCGTGGCTTGTGGGGCGCCGGCTGGAAGCAGGGCGTGAGGGGACAAGTGCTCCTGCCCCACGGCTGCAGATGGATGATACAGGGCGGGCGGCCCACCATGTCTCGCACGCCCCACACACGCTGGCACAGGCGTCAGCATCCGCCCGCCCACCTGCATGCCCCCGATGTTGGCCTCCATCACGCCCGCCATCGCCGTTCCGCTCTGCACGCTGCCGCTGACGCGCCAGGTGTACAGCACCACCGCCGCCGCCAGCAGCTCGGGCAGCCACTCGTCCGCCAGCACAGGCGCCCCGCCGCCGCCGCCGCCGCTGCCGTCCTCCGCAGCAGCGCCGCGCCGCGGGGGGCCGGCCCAGGGGGACACGTCGACGCGGCCGCCGTGGCGGGAGAGGGCGGCGCCGCAAATGCGCGCCTCGCGGTGCAGGTGACTCATCAGGCCGCCGACCCGAACAAGATCCGACAGCACCTCGCCCACGCCGTCGCCGGCGGCCGCGCCGCCGCGGGCCGCGGCGCCCCGCGCGCC